ATAATAAGTCGGGATCTCGAGATAATAAGTCGGGATCTCGAGATAATAAGTCGGGATCTCGCGATAATAAGTCGGGATCTCGAGATCTCGACTTAGTTTCTCGAGATCCCGAGAAAATAAGTCGGGATCTCGAGATCTCGAGATAATAAGTCGGGATCTCGAGATAATAAGTCGGGATCTCGAGATCTTGACTTAGTTTCTCGGGATCTCGAGATAACAAGTCGGGATCTCGAGATAATAAGTCAGGATCTCGCGATAATAAGTCGGGATCTCGCGATAATAAGTCGGGATCTCGAGATCTCGACTTAGTTTCTCGGGATCTCGCGATAATAAGTCGGGATTTCTTTCCTTTTTTTTTTTTCCTCCATGTCCCCTTAGGGGCTCCGTACAAAAAGATTTGATGGTGTAGAATAGAAAAAGATCAGGTCCCTTATGTTGTGAACAGGGATCTAGTTTATGCAGACCTGTTGAGAATTTCTGTTATTTTGTCTTTGGTGATCAACTACAGTCAGAAGGGTACATAACTATGTTCTAACCAGCTTCTGTTCTGTGCAGTCTGGGCCCAACATTAGTTAATGTTTACTCACATTATTACATTATTATTAACCACAGTAGCCATTAATTCCTTTACAAATGACCAGAACAGAAGAGTGACTGAGGGGACATGCCAATCACTTCACAACTTCACTATTCAGAAGCTTGTGCAGCTGATGGATATTTTTCTGATTTAATTCGTATCTGCAGCAGAACAAAGCGTTGCACAATGCGTTCTCTGTGCAAGAAAGCAGAACTATGTCACATGCATCCCTTTAAAATGAAAGGTGCCCTACTCTTAGTTTATATCTAACACTCAAAGCCGCTGAGTCCTGCTTCACACCTTTGCTTCTGTGATGCCTCAGAAAGAGCAAATGTGTGCAGGATATTGTTCATTTGAGATTTATGGCCACCCAAAGGCAGCTCTGAGTGGGTTCATGACAGAACAGCTTTGTGAATGAGGCTTATGTTTTGTCCCCCACTAACTGGCCTTTTTGCAAGTCTGCTGACTCCCAATTGGCTGTCCAAGCAACCAATTGTTTCTCATGTTCCAGTAATTAACACACAGTAAAACGTGAACCAAGAACAGAGAAATGTGTTTGTTTAATCAAGGTGGTGGTAAGAACAAGAACAAAGTTAGTTCTGTCCATGGTGCAAAACCCAAACTTCAGAGGTGACCAGGGCCACTTCACTGGGCAGAGGAACAGGCAGGAGCACTGCATCTCATTCCTCTATGTCAGATTCCAACCTGAAAAACAGACACAAAATCACCCCTAGTGGTGGGGTGGTCACAATATATGGAAAAGAAAATTACAAAACAGTACAAAGATAAAATATAAGAACAGCCAAACTTAAGACAAAAGAAGGGTACATGTCAAATGTTTTATAGAAAATGTTTGTGCTGAGTTAGAGCCTTTGTAGCTTTTAGGTTTCTTAAAACTTTTAAGGTTTCAAAATATCAATTCAGCCTTCAGGTCTAGAATCAATTGGAGCGAATATATAATTTAAATGATTTTTGGTAAAGTGGCCTGAGAAGATTTGCTGTGAACTGGTGCTTTAAAAATAAATTAGATTGAACTGGATTGTGGGGAGGGGCATTGGGTTTTATATTAGATCACTTACTTTTAAGAATATAAAAAAAACTGTAAATAAATTAGTTTTGGTTTTTCAAGACTCTTTTTTTTTTTGCTAAAAGAAATACTATCCCTTAATCAAAACTTAATTTTAATGCCACAATATAGTTAAATTAAGTGTTCGATTTTAATTCTAAAATATTTAACATACATACATTATAAAATAAAATAAAATAAATAGAAAAGACGAGAAAATGTAGCAATTTTATAAATGTACACAATTTACCCAAGTCCTTTGTAAACTGGTTTGTTGGATATTTATATATTCTATAAATTATTTTGAAGTAAGTGAACTTCCTTTACCTTTTGTACCTTAAACCTTTCTGGTTATCCCATTGGCTCCGCTTTTGACGTCATGACGTCCTGATGTTTTAGAGGGGTGGCTTGGCGCTGAGGCAGACGGGAAGTAGTGGTAGCAATATTTTTTGATATTGCAAAAGCATATGACATGGTATGGAAGGATGGGTTGCTTATAAAATTATATAAAAAGAGGGATTACAGGAAGGGCTTATAATTGGATTAAAGATTTTTTGTTGAATAGAGTTATACAGGTACAGTTGGGAGCAAAAAGATCCAATAAGTATAAAATTGATAATGGAACTCCACAGGGAAGTATTATCAGTCCTTTATTATTTTCAATCATGATTAATGATGTTTTTACAGAAGTAGATCAGGATGTCATGCAGTCATTATTTGCTGATGATGGAGCCTTGTGGAGGAAAGGGAAAAAATGTAAGATTAGTGTATGAGAAAATACAAAAAGCTATTAAATCTGTTGAAAATTGGGCTTATAACTGGGGAGTTAAATTCTCAGTAGGTAAAACAAAGACTGTTGTATTCGATAGGAAGAAAATTGAGGAAATCGATTTAAAAATGTATGGGGAAAAAATAGAAAAAGTAAGTAAATTTTGTTCTTTAGGAATCATGTTTGATTCCAAGCTTTTATGGGGTTATCGTATAAAGTATATTGAAGGGAAATGTAAAAAAGTTATAAATATAATGAGGTGTTTAACAGGATTAGATTGGGGTGCAAATAAAATTAATTTAAAAAAGATTTATGTTGCTTTGATCAGATCAGTTTTGGACTACGGATGTGTAGTTTACAGGCAAGCTTCAAAAACAGTGATTAGTAAATTAGAAGTTATTCAGAATCAAGCTTTGAGATTATGTTGTGGAGCTTTGAAGACATCTCCATCTTTAGCAGTGCAGGTAGAAATGGGGTAGATTTCTTTATATTTAAGACAAAAGCAAATTTTGCTGAATTATTGGGTGAGTTGGCAGGGACATAAGGAGGAGAATAATACAGCAGTAAGAATACTGAGACCTTGCTGGGAGAGTGGAAAAGCTAAAATAGACTGTTTTGCCTGGGCAGCAGATAAATGCATTAGGGAAATAGGTATACAGGGAAAGACATACTGTGCTGCGGTGCCATATCCAATTACACCTTATTGGTTATTTCCATATGTGAATGTAGATCTAGAAATTTATAAAGAAATGCAGGTTAATAAAGATAATAACTGGGGAATTTTTGTAAGTAACAGAATTAAGAATATGTATAAATCCTTTACAGTTATATATACAGAAGGCTCAAAAGATTTAGTTTCAAATAAAACAGGATTTGCTTATGTTATTCCTGAACTAGGTATATTTAAGAAGCAAAAAACATCTGATTATTTATCTGTTTATACAGTGGAAATGTTAGCAATTCTGATGGCCTTACAGTGGATAGAACAAAATAGAATTGAAAATGTTCTTATATGTTCAGATTCATTATCATCATTAATGTCCATTTCAAATATCTCATCTGAAAGTTGTATGGAATTGGTATATAAAATTTATGAAGTAATATTTAGAATGACACAAATTCAAATAAAGATTAGGCTTATGTGGGTACCTGCTCACAAAGACATAGAAGGGAATGACATGGCAGATCATTTAGCTAAAGAGTCTTTAAAACAAAATGGAATTATGGAAATAGCGTACTGTAAATCTGAAATAAAATCAATTATTAAGAGAAAAATTTAATCTGAATGGCAACAATTATGGGAGGAAGGAACTAAAGGTTGTCATTTATTTAATATACAAAAGAAAGTAGGAAATATGGAAATAATTGGAGAAAATAGAAAAGAACAAGTAGTAATGACAAGATTGAGGATCGGACATACCGGATTAAGTAAAACATTACATTTGATAGGTAAACATCCAACAGGTAGTTGTGAGTGTGGTATGGCTATGGAAACAGTAGAACATGTATGAATTCATTGTGGAAAACATGTTGTAAGTAAAGAGAAGCTAAAACAAGAAATTATGAAATATGATATAGAGACATTAAAACTTAATAAGATATTAATTAAACATAAAATAAATAAAGCAGTTATTACATTTTTAAAGGAAACAGGATTATTTATAAGAATTTAGGAGATACTCTGGTCCACACTCCAGCATAGTAGATGGCGATAATACATCTTAACGTTAGATGTCACCCGCCAGTAAAATCAGAAGAAGAAAATCAGAAGAAGAAGAAGAAGAAGAAGAAGAAGAAGAAGATGATGATGATGATGATGATGATGATGATGATGATGATGATGCAGACGGTGAAGGAGGGGAGGGGGCTACCACAGCAGCAGGAGCAGGGGAGGAAGCGAGTGGAGGATGCTTATCTTCAAGGTGAGCTAATGTGAAATACAGGAAGGCTTACTGTTCCGTAAAGACAACAATACCGCTTCTGGGTGTCTTCCGCGTTAGAGGTAAAAGAAAGGAGACCGTATCAGAAATAAACACTAATACGGACATTTAAATGGTCCCTTTTTAGCTGATTGGCTAGCATTAGCTAGATGGAATGAGGTGACTTTCGGCTCGGTTTGGACTCTTGAAATGCAACAAAGTCCATGTTAAACTTGCTTTAAGTCAGCGTTTACTGTACGTGCCAATGTTGACATGACCAGTAATTACATTTTCATTCTTATCTGAAGTTGACTGTGTTAGCTTGTATATAGCACCAACAGAGACACATTGGCGCATGTCGAAAGCTGGGAATCAATGACCCACTTTACTTCCTGTAACAGGAGGGAAAAAATTCATATTGCGCTACCAGTAACATCTTCTGCTCGTTTGTTTACCGCTTGTACTGGAAAATCCAGTATCTATCTCTTGTCTGTTTCAGCTTCAGATGATGCTTTTCCCGATTTTAATACTAGAGAACTGAGTTATGGACAGGAACATGCATCAGAAATATGAATATTACAAGTAAAAGCTTTGATTCAAAGCAACGTCCATGCATGTTCTCTGAGAAGGAGCTGCAAACCAAACGATTCTATCTAAAACAGCAATAAAATCGAAAATGACGCCAATATTTTGTGGGTAGGTGGTCAACGGTTGAGAAATGCTGGATCATTTCTGTTTATGGTGAAATCCTTGATGTTTTGCCATTATTGTGTAGTCTAATATTGCTAGTGGGACTTATTAATCTTGATTTTTATTGATGGTCGGCATGTTTTTTCAAACAAGAAAACTTCTGAAACAATATTCAGTTCATCACTGAAATAACATCAGATTTCTCCATATACATGTACAGTGAATCCAATCCAATCATGTAGACATCTTGAAAATCTGCTATAGAGCTTGGCAGTTTGGTCAAAATCCAATCATGATGAAATGTTTTGCATCAGTTGAGTACGATACAAAACAAACAACTGTTTGTGTCAATCTTTTGTCACTGTTTACTGGAGGAGATATAAAAAATATCAGGTTATTTTTTATTTTAAATATAGATTTTTTTTTTTCTTTAAAAGATAAACATTACATTGAACTTTATACATCTGCTTTGGCTTAATAAAAGAAGTTAGCTTAACTTAAATTAAAATCTTCAGGGAAACATGGGGGGGGGAAAAAGAAACCAATAAGATGGACATTGTCTGTCTTTGGAAAGAAAATAAATCGCAGTTCTTTATAGCCTCCAATCAAATTTCTGTGTGGCTCTTTTCCAGCCACATGATTGGTTCAGCCCAGTGCAACTCTTGTCGTAATTGGCTCTTTATCTTTTAGGTCTATGTCGACCTTTATTGTACAGCTCTAGTTTATTACTAGTCTATTAATCGAGTTATTAAATATGAAGTCAAGTTCAGTTTTCTATTGAAATTGCTAGGTGTGTCCTGATACAACTTTATCCACTTCCGATACAATACTGGTATCGTAGCTTTGAGAATTGGCCTATACTAATATTGACTCGATACGATATCAGCACAAATTGTACATATTTATATTCCTCATTGTGAATCTGTCTTTTATGTAATATTTTGCCCCTTGCTTCTTCCTGACCTCTGAGCCCTTTTGCCCCCCAGCATGTGATGACTGATGCCTGAAGGTTGAGAGGCTGTGGCAGCAGGACATGCGAGCATCCAGCTTCAATGAAGGATGAAGAGCCCGGTGCACAGATGCAGGGACGTGGAGCACGGCCGCGGGCAGGCCGGGGCTGGGACTGGGGACGGGGCCAGTGGAGGGTCCAACTGCCTACAACCTGAACAGCGCATCCCTATCTCCAAAGACGTCATCACTTCCTCCTCTTCCTCAGCCTTGTGGTTCATCAGGGACACCTGCGGCATCGTGTGCGCCATTATAACGTGGCTGCTGGTGTTTTACGCTGAGTTTGTGGTGCTGTTTGTCATGCTGGTGCCCTCCAAGAATCTCACTTACAGCATTGTGAACGGGACCTTGTTCAATACTTTGGCCTTTCTAGCCCTCGCCTCACACCTCAGGGCCATGTGCACTGACCCTGTATGTATGCTGAGATGGATTTGTTTCTGTTACTGTTCAGACTTTTCTTTCTTCCTTCTATAGTCCTGGGCCCTAAGATGTTTGTAAATGATTTGTTTTGTGCCAGGGGGCCGTGCCAAAAGGGAACGCCACTAAGGAATACATAGAAAGCCTTCAGTTGAAACCAGGTCAGGTGGTCTACAAATGTCCCAAGTGCTGCAGCATCAAGCCTGACCGAGCACACCACTGCAGGTGAGGGAACGGCTGCAGCTGTTCACTCAGGCTGTCCGTACAGCTTCACATGAGAAAATGATTTAGATTAATATAGATAGAAACCTTCAGCTTTTCCTAATTTTATAATCGGTTGACTAGAATTATCTTTAGTACTTTGTGAAGAATTGAGTTCTACCCTTTAGGATCAAGATTTGCATCTTTTATATACGGGTGCACCAAACTTTAACATTCAACAAAGTTGAAAATAACTTCCATATGTCTATGTACAGCCACATTCAATACATTTGAATGTTAGTAGAGTTTCTGAAATAAATGAACATTTCAGAAAGTGAAACACATTTCATAGATTAACTCCAGTGACGGAGCTTAACTTTTTTTGTTAGTGGCCCGAGGGAAACCAAGGCCACAGATGAGAATGACCATGAGTTTACACAATAAATAAAAAATGTAAATGATAAATAGAAGTTCTATATTTATAGGATATTTTTTAAAACATTTATCCTTGGTGTTCTACTTTCCCTAATGAGATGAATTGCTGTGGCAGAAGCTTCAACAGGCCCTTCATGCTCAGATCCCTCTGGCTCAGTTGGAATAACTCTGCAATGAAGACGGGGCCAAAATTCCTGCCCAGCCAGTTTTTTCAGTCATGGCAGTTGTTGCTAAAGGAAAGACAGCCACTTATTAGGTTTAGGATGTAATTACTTTCACAGAGTTAGCTTGATTAGTATGGCTTTTATCCTTTTATAAATCACAGCTTAAAAACTCTACTCTGAATTTACTCAAGTAATCTACTGTAAGTCTCATATTAAAATCCAAAGGAAGAAATCTGTAAGGAGGAAAAATACTGCTTTTACTGCATTGCATCATAAATTCCAGGTTATTTTAGACTTCAGACAATTTAAAATTGCACTATTTGTAAATAATATTTTTTTTATTTAACATTTGTTAAAATTGTATATGTCGTGACAGTATTGTATGAGATTGGGCATCTGTAGCATAATGGAGCTCCCTGTGGTCCTAATGGTATCTACAGAAACACCCAAAAACCAGTCAGAGCCAGCTTAGGAGCTTAGCGCTGTCAATCAAGCTCCTGCAAGGGAGGAGCTCATCTACAGCTCCCCCCTCACAACATAGCCTGTTATGAATGCTAAGGTTTGTTAGCATGGCCACCAGTGACGGTGGAAAAACAGTTTTATTGTAACGCTGAATTGTTTCTCTGCCTTTAGCACATTGAGCAGCGCATACACAAGGTTAATTGACAGTGCCAAGTCCCTCCTCCTGGCTCTGGTTGTTTCTGCAGCTGGCAGAGAAGAGGTGGAGGACATCAAATTTTTTTATTTTATAACAAAATATGATTTTTGTAAAAAAAAAATGTTAAATAAAAAACACTTTTTACTATTTTTCATATTTTTGTGAGTCAGTCTAGTTTAGTAACTATTTGAATTTATTGATATTTTATAATCTAAGTGAGTTATGCTCGAAGCTCGTTTACTGATGGATAAATATGCTCCCCGTTTTTCTTCTTGAAATATGCAAATAACTAAAGCTTCTTATGTTGGTAGAAAGACGAAGGACAGGCAGTTTACATACCAATTGTAGTTAACTAAACAAAGAACCAGGTAGCTGCAGACTTGATGTAGGATGGGATTTGAGTCTCTTGTAGTCTGATTAAAGGCTGTTGGATATCTGCAGCACTGTTTGCTTCATGCTGCTGCTGTTTCAGATAGAAAGTTGTGGTTGAAACTGTAGACTGGTTCACAGTTCTAAGGCTGAACCATTTCGAGAGTGGGAAGCAAAATACTCCAAACCACCCTGCTTTATATTTAGTCCCTCAGCTAACAGCTCACAAACAGCGGAGGAACACTTTGAGGCATTCAGCCTCCTCAGTTTTATGCTCACGGTGTTGAAGTGTG